TCAAAATCACAATGAAATAACAATTCAAACCCATTAAAATGACTATTATAGATAACATAAAAAATAATAAACATTGGTAAATCTGTGGAGAAATCAAACAAAATCAGAGCCTTCATTCTAGGCTTGAAGAAATAAAATGGTGCAACAACTTTGGAAAACAATTTTCTGGTTCTGTTAAATGTAGAATTCTATCGTCGTCGATCGTCGATGGATGTCAGAACTCCGGATTCTTTCTCTCACTTGAGTGAAACGTGATATTCCAAGCATAGCTCTTTCTATTCTTCTTTGGGAGACCTGAATAGCGTTCTCATCTTGTTTGCATAGGGCCCAGGTCTCTGAGGCATATGTTAATGCAGGAAGAACAGTGGAATCAAAGAGATGTGCCCGGAGCCGGAGGTTCTTCGTCCTCTTAGCTATCTCTTCGACGTTCTTGAAGGCGTTCCAAGCCACTCTCTTCCTCCTGCGCAACTCGGGTGCCAGGTCATTTGTCATGTTGACCTCTCGACCTAGGTACACATAGCTGTTGCATTCGGAGATGGTCGTTCCATTGAGAGCGAATGGGGCGTCAGGAACAAGGCTGTTTCTCATAAACATTGTCTTCGTAAGATTCAGCTGTAGTCCTACCTTTCCACACTCACGGTCAAAGTCGGCCAGCATTTGTGCCGCTTGGCTGATGTTTAGTGTTATTAAAACAATGTCATCAGCAAAGCGGAGGTGGTGTAGTTGCCGACCATCTATCTTCACTCCCATTCCTTCCCATTCCAGTCGTCGCATGATGTTCTCGAGGGTGGCACTGAAGAGTTTCGGTGAAATGGTATCACCCTGCTGAACCTCTCTCTTGACATCAACGATCACTTCTTTGTAGAATGGTGAGATCCTGGTAGTGAATCCGCAATACAGCTCACGGAGGATCCTGATGTACTGGGCTTGAATGCCCTGATTGGCTAGGGCTTCAATGACCACTTCCGTCTCAACAGAATCAAAGACCTTCTTTAAATCAATGAACGTTAAACAGAGCAGCATCTTGAACTCCCGAGAAACCTCAATGAGCTTGGTTATTGTGTGGATATGGTTGATGGTGCTGAATCCTTTTCGGAATCCAGCTTGTTCACATGGTTGTCCTTCATCTAGTGTTCTGCCAATCCTATTTAGGATGACTCGAGTGAACAACTTGTAGATGACAGACAATAGGCAGATCGGGCGATAGCTGCCAATGTCATGGATGTCTCCCTTCTTGAACAGTAGTACGGTCCTGCTGGTTTTCCATTGGGACGGAACCTTGCATTCACACAGGTAGTGAGTGAAGAGCCGAGCCAGTGTATATCAATGAGTACTGACGGCCGGTTCTTCAGGTGTTCAGGTCTGATCTTGTCTGGGCAGGGTGCTGTTTGTTTCTTTACCGACGAAATGGCGTGTCGGATTTCGGAAGGGAGAACGTTGGGAACGACATATCCATCCTGTGGAATTTGGTATGTCAGCAAGTGGACATGGCTATCGAAGAGATTTGAGTAGAAGTCATGGATAATCTTCTCCATTGCCGTTCTGGAGGATGTGATGGATCCATCAGGACGTCGGAGGGCAGTCATCTTGGTCTTGTAGTTGGCGAAGGACAGGCGGGCGTAACGAATACTTTTCCCAGCTTCTGCCGGATCTACCAGTACTTCTGCTCTTCTCTCTTTGAGGTCTTCCTTGATCGCATCTCTGCACTGCTTTGCGAGCTCGGACGTTAGCTTGCGGTTGCCTGAGGCATGTGCCAAACTACGCTGGCAAATTAGCTCAAGAGTTTTCGAAGATAGGCGATTTTTTGTGGCTATCTCTCTCTTGGCGTTCCTTTCACATTCATGGAGGTGCTGAACCAGTCGATCGTATTCCTCGTCAATGTTGTCAACAATGGCATCTTCCCATGTTGCCGCAATAGTACCAAAGAGTTCCCAGTTGGTGGTCATTCTGGGAGTTCTCTTTTTGAACTTTGCAGCCCTTTCTCCCAGCTCTGTGAAGTAGAATTTTGCATGAAGGAGACGGTGGTCCGATCCCGTTCGAAATTTTGGGACAACAGCGACATCAGTCAGGCAAAACCGTCGATTGAATATGATGTGGTCTATTTCGTTGTGGAATCGTCCACCGGGAGACTCCCATGTCCATCGTTTAGATTCTGCCTTCTGGAACTGTGAGTTACCATGAATGGTCTTGGTCGACATGATGAACTCAGACAGTCTCTCACCTGACCCTGAAGGTGAGAGAATTACTATATGATCTAGTAATTCTATTACTAGGTGTAGAACCAAGCAAAATGATTACATATATCTGTGCAAAAACATGCACATTAACTTTCAGAGCAGGATTATTAACAACAACAAAAAGTGGAAATAATCCAAATATCTACTGACTGATGGATCTCTAAATAGAACATAGTTGTATTCGGTAGAATATTATTTGGAGAAAAATAAAATTAAGTATCCATGCTACAATGTAGATGAGCCTTGAAATATGTTGTCAAATGTAAAAAGCCAGTCACAGGAACACACATTGAATAATTTCAATTGCCTGAAATGTTTAGAATTAGCAAATCAGTGAGTACAGAAATTAGGTGGATCCAGATTGCTTAGAGCTGGGGTCAGAGGGAAAAGTAAACATGAGAATGACAGCAGTGAGCACAGGGTTTAATTTCAGGGTGATGAAATGTTCTGAAATCAAATTGTGATGATGGGTACACAACTCTGACTTTTCTAAAAGACACTAAACTTTTATTTCCCCTCAACTTTATATAGAACTCAAATCATGTGGTTAGACTCATCACTGTGCTGAGTAAGTTAAAAAAGATTCTTTTGCCCTGTAGGTCAGTTTCACTTGAAGTCATCCTGTAAATTAGGTGTTTGTAATTTTTTTAATTGCTTACAATGTTTACATGGGTGCTACTGAGACTTGTCTTGTTCTGGAGATTTATTTCTGTGGCAACATGTGACAGTGCACAGACATTCCATGAGGCATGTGAGCAGACGGCTGCAGGACACACAACTCTCTCACAAAGCAAGCAACATCTCTTCTGTCTCTTCTCCACCGCTGGAGTCAATGGCTGCCACTCCACTGACAATCCAGGGTCTAGGCATGGCAGCACACTTGCTGGGTATCCTCTTTTCTGGTTCCAGCCCCTACTCATCCCAAGAGAGCAGCCCACTTAGGACCTTTCCTGATGCGATAGTCCTGCCTCCCGTACTAGACTCTCCTATGATGCAAAACAGAACGTGAGCTCAGTTCAGTTTCTGGAATTCTCTTGTTCTAGAAAGGACCATGAGAAGGGAGTCATATTGTCCCCAACAAGGACTAGGTTGACAAAGACTAAGAACTCAGAGAAGATGCAAACTCTGACAGGGATAATGGAGCTAAATCTCAGAGAGGCCAAGATGGTCTTCCTCACCAACTGCAGCTAGAGGCAGAGACTAAAGCTGAGGGTGGCTGGGACAGAATCAGTTGTCAACGAGTTGGGCAGCTTTGGTGACAGAAACCCTTGCCAATCACTCAATCTTCCCATCAAGAGAACCCTGCCCATCAGGATCATGCACCTGACTCAGATTGCAGACCCCACATTACCCTAGTACACAACACACAGAGACACATGCTGATCTGCCTGCAGGAAAAACTCCAAGGAGAGAGACAGCCAAGTCTATGCAGGCAGAATCACCACACATCAAATGCACATAACCAACACCAGGTACTCACGCACAGAGAACAAAGCACACATGGGGACATTACACACCAAAAGGAAAAATGAATGCACCTTAGGTAAGTGTTTTCCAGCATGCACACCTGGTCATCAGAGGCTGATCCAGAGTGATTGAGGAAACCTTTCAACCCCAGGTCTGGGCAAGGTGCTTTCCTTTGTGTTCCCTCCCAATATTCTTTATAAATTTTCTAGGCCTTTCTTCAGCACTCAATCCCTTCCACTGCACCATGGCTTTCCTTATTGGAGACAATAAAGGAAGGGACTGAATCTGATGATCTCTGAGTCTCCCACACTTCCTTTGATGCATGCAGAGCAGGGTTAATGTGGACTGCTTTAAATGAATGACAAAATGAATGAAGCAATCCAAGAGTATATTTATTAGAGAAAGCATTCAACCTTCATAACTATCAAAGAAATGCAAATTAAAGTGAGATTCAATTTTACACCTATTAAATTAGCACAAATTAAGAAATATAATTATCACACTCAAGACTGACACAGTCGTGGTATTGCTAGTGGCAGTGTGTAAATTGGGTGTAACCCTTTTAAAAAGCAATTTGATAATATGTATCAAGAGTCATTAAAAGCCACACACCCTTTGGTACAATGCTGACACTCTTGAGAATTTGGCTAAAGGGATCAAGGAGGTTGGGTAGTTGCAGAATGTGCTGAATGTGGATGGAAATATCAGTTTAGAACCAAACTTGTGACACATACTCTAACACATTCCACTTGAGGAAAGTAGGAAGAATTGCTCCAGAAAACCAAAAATAAGGCTAGCCCTCATTGCACTGAAAAACGGTACTCATGGGGATACACAGGAAGCCAGCATTGCTCATTGCTGAATCACTAGCCTTGTACATCACAGGGCTCTATTGTATGATACAGAAATATATAACCAATAAAGTAAACCATTATATCTGCAATTTTAGCTATCATATATACTATATTAAACAATTTCCCAATTACCTTTAACTGAGTAGAATGCTTTGTAACCATTAGAACTGATTAACATGCAAATGTGTTACTTTTTTTGAAGTTGAATTCTTTTTTTAAATTTTCCCTATCCCTACTGTAAGTTCAGTTATTTAGACCAGTTTTCAGATTCTGTTGTATTTGGCCATTTGGTATTTCCTTTCTGTATCCCTCTCTCTGGGTAACCAGTAGGAATGATACTTTCCAGATTAAGCCATATAGCAGCAAAATGGATTTCATTTTTTTATAGCTAAGTAGCATTCCATTGTGTATATATTCCATAGTTCCTTTTCATTTGTTTTTGAAAAATATGGATCATTTAATTAATTTGCAAATCACCCTTGCACAGGGAGCATGCTAATCTTTTCTTATTGATCCAATTTTTAGTATGTGTGTTGCCAAATCGAGCACTAGTTTCCTCATCCAAATGTATTTCTTATGCTGCATATAAAGGACTTCTATGATAGAGGATTCTTCTTGATACAAGCCACATATGGCCTAGCCCAAATGCTGGCAATCTCAACCTGTGGTTAAATAAGTTCACTGTCAATTTTAGTAAATCAAGTTTTGGGTCAGGTTATACATATTGGCTTTCATGTTACATATGGTTGTTTTATTGCTACAGAATTGAGTGGTGGTGACAAAACCTCTGTGGCCCTTGAAGCTTCTTACTTTCTGACTTTTTGCAGACAATATTTTCTGAGCCCTGGCCAAAATCAAAGTGGGACAGAAAAGAATAGAATCCAGCATTTCCAACACAGTGAGTATCTTTAGGGAAAGAGCTAGAATAATGAGCATTATCTAGGTATCAAGCTCACTTCCCAGAGCTCAACACGTTGTTCTCTCAATCTACACAGCAACCAGTGCAGAAAATTGGGTTCATCCCTGTTCCACGAAAAAAAACATGGAGAGAGAGAGAGAGAGAGAGAGAGAGCTTGCTTGATGGCTTGCTTGGACCACACAGCATTAGTGAGGCAGCCTGAAACCCAAGCCTGTTGGATTTCACTCCCTGCTCACTTGCCTTCAGAACACCAAAAGTTCTTTGACAGATGCAACCTCCAAAATTCATTCAAAACTGTACAATATTAAGCCAAGGCCAGGATTAAAATCTAAGTTTGGTTGTGTAGGCACCACTCCCTCGAGGGAAAAGTGGTTGAATCAGTTTGCATGACAGCAAATAGAATTAGGGTGATCCTCCTATGAATCCTGTTCTACCAGTGTTTGAGACCTCTGGTCAACAGGGCCTCTTCCATCCTGCATTATTTGAGCCCTGATTGTCCTTGATTCTCTATCACCTTTGTCAAGCTCCTTCTCTCTAAACTTTAGTTTCCCCACCTGTATGGCAAAATATCTAAAATTCTGGACCTAACCTGTTTTCCAGAGATCAAGCTCAAAATCACTTCTGGAGGATAGCCCTGCCTTTTGAGAACATGGGCAAGCTTGGGGCGAAATAATGGTAGGTTGGGGAGCTGGGAGAAGGGTTGTGGGTGAAGCTGGTTTTCTCTCTGCTCTGTCAAACCTAGGACAGACCTGAAGCCTGCAGATGTCCTGCAGTTCTGGTGCAAATCCTGAGAAAGAGGGTATCTTCCCCAAAGAATGGTGACTGATGAGATCATGCTGATTCTCATTGTTACCTGACCCTGCTGTCTGGAGTCGGTGTTCTCATCTATATCCCATATAAAGTAGAAAAATGTGGCCCAAGGTCTCAGCCTGTCAGGGTAAGGCGTGGAATTTTAACCCACAGACTGTCCTTCAGCAAGCACATATCTTTTCTCTGTGACTACCTCTCTTCATGCTTTGGAAAGTTTTGCATGGATGGCTGGACAGGGAATGGGTGCTGAGTCTCCAAGGTACTAAGTGTGTGCCTGTTTGAGAATAACCAAGGTCTCATGGAGGGTTGCTGCAGCCACAGGTGGTGTCTTACAGGTGATTTTCATGCTTCATAAAAACATAATTTATATGATTTATAAAATTTTATGTGATTTGTAAGAGCTGTTAAATATAAGAGGGAGCTGGCAGGGCTCACAGTTTCCTTGGCTCTGTTCTGGTTTGGTCACTGGAAAGACAGCCCCTTATCAAAGACTGCTATGCACCATTCTCTGGGCTTGGAGCCACCATGGTGGGTCCATTTTACTTCTGATGAACAATTTATAATGGGACCTGCGGGTTGTTATCTGAGAGGAACAAATCCTTAAGGTCAAGATGTGATTAGAAATGAAAACCTTAGGGCATCATGGAAAGCTTCTGGGAGGCAGTAACTCTAGTGAGAAGACTTGAAAGTAGAGTTTCAAAAAAGTGGGTTTCAACACAGCAGCAATCTAGGAGAAACAGGCTGTGGAAAGAATGCACCGTAATACTGGAGTAGAAAAGGGCAGGGAAGCTATTAACTTTGAAAGGAAAACTGATGCTTTATTGGGCATAAGCTCAGTCCAATCCTAGGACACAGAATTTGAAGATGGGAAGGAGACTAGCAACACCGTCAATTGTAGCCAGCCAGGAACAGGAAACTTGTCTCTCCTGAATGCCTGGGCCCCCTATATCTGTTAGAGGGATGAAGGGGTGATGGGTTGAAGAATATAAAAAAGAATGAAGACTCATGATTGTTTGTCTGCAGGACCACTGTGAAGATATCATTTCTTCAAAAAGAAGAAGCAGGTGAACAGATCCCTCTACAGTATGGGAATTGAAGCAACACTCAGTCTTTCCACAGGCACAGGGATAACCCTCATAATCCCATGCAAACAAATAAAATTATGGGACCACTGACCAAAATGGCAGGACAGGAGACAAGGACACTATAGCTTTCTCACTGGAGCAAAACCAGCTGGGTACATAATTTTCTCAGCATATCTATTGGATTTCAGGTCAAATTACTGACGTCCTCCTGCTTAGGAGACCTAAATGAGCCCCCCCAAAATACACTCGGCTCCAAGATACCTGTTCTCACTAAGTTCCATGGAACCTTAAACTCAATCTTCCAAAGCTATTACCTTTGCCAATATGCTTCTATTTCTGAGCTCCCAGCTCAGAGGTGATTCTGCTAGTCCCAAAGTATTTCTTTTTCCCCCTGCCAGGTCACCCCAGCTCAGTTGTTCTTGAATTCAGCACATTTCCAAATCCAGCATGTACCCTGATCTCTTTTCTTTCTCCAGTGCTCTCTGGCACACTGACAGGGATTGATTTTGCTTGTTGTTCAGTTTTGTTGCAAACATCATATCTTCCAAGGACCTCCCTGATCACCCTCAGAAAAGATATTCTTAAAAACTCCTCATGTTATTTTCTTTTTTGACTTTTTTATTCATGTCTATTCACTGGTAGGGTTTCCTCTAGAAGACAAATTTCTTTTTTTATTTTCTGATTTTTTGGGGGGCCACACATGGTGGTACTCAGGACTTACTCCTGGCTCTATATCAGGAATGACTCCTGGGGGTGTGCAGGGGACTATATGGGATGCTGGAGATCGAATGTGGATTGGCTCTTAAGAGGCAAGCTCCCTTCTCACTGTACTATAGCTCTGACCCCTAGAAGACAAATTTCTTGAGGCCAAGGACCCATCTTTTCCAATTGTCCCCGTTGCATCTCCAGTGTCCAAAACAGTGTCCAGAATGAAGTAGTGCCCTATAAATATCTGCCATGTGAACAATGATGGTTTGCTATTTTTTTTCTTTCTAGTGATTAGTATGCATGTATTTCTCCTCAAAGAGCAGATTTGTCAAACCCTCATCTCCCTGGACTCTGATGTGTCTCAGAACTCATTATCTTTCTGCTGCAAGAGGAGAGATTCTTGGACAGAGATTTAAACAAACATCCGAGTTCCTGCTTTGACTTTGCTGACCTTCTGGTGAGTTTGGAATCAGAAACCATTATTGTCTCTGCAGGTGGAGAATCTCCCTGGCTCCTGTTGGCACCTGGCACATCTGCCTCAATTAGTAGCTTTGTCACCCTGTCTGATGCTGCGCCAGGATTAGGAAGCTGAGCCTTCTTTCTGAGAGGTAGCTCTTGGCATCTGTAATGGTACTTTAGACCACTGACACACACGCTGAATCACAGAATTGAGGTATTCACCTGTTTATCTGCCTTAAGAGCCCCCAGAGAGCCAGTGAGTGCAAAGGTCTTGCCTGAAATTATGCAGGGAGGGGCAAGGGAGGCAGGCCAGTCCCTAAATACCTGCCCAGTAGAACTTCTGACAGATCTCTCACAAACCATTCTGGACCATCAATGAAACATGCCCAACCTGTCATTTATGGCCTTGGACCCTTGAGAAATTTACTCATAAAGTTTCTGTATCTCTTTTAAGGAGTTCTTATAATTCACAAAATAAAATTTTCCATCTTGACTATTTTTAAGTGAATGATTCAGTGGTGTCCAACACATCCACATGTGCACCATTAAACACATCCACATGCTCACCTCCATCTACTATCAGAACTTTTAGTTTTAATTTTGCAAAACTTGGGAAATTTTGCTTCTTTGGGGGTTCCTCAAAGGTTGTTTGGGAATAATGATGATGGCAACCTCTTCCCCATATTCAATGACCTGAAATAGAGCAAGCAATGTGGATTATAAGTACAGAAACTGTTCTTACTGATGCTCAATAAATGTTTGTTAAATATGAATTGGAGGAACTCAAGTTTCAATGCAGACTCGGATACAGCTTATTAAGTACATAAATCAAAGTCTCCTACACGGTTTTCCTAAAGCTGTTTTGAAGGGAGCTGTCTTAAAGGCTTACTCCATATAACAATAAAACATGGGGTGAAAGTGGAAGTGGGGAATTGAGCATAACAGTTTGAAGGCTCAGCCAATGCTGTAGAGTTCACATGTAGACTGTTCCTTTTTGTTGTAGAAAATATGCATCTTAAAATTTATCTTGGGAACATTTCAGGTGTCCAGTTCTGTGAATAAACACACTTATGTTGTGTAACCATCACTCCATTCATCCCCACGTTTTAGATCTTTCCCAACTAAAGTCCATACCTGCTAAATACAACCCAACCCCATCCCCAGCCATTCCCTCTTCTAGGCCCTGGCAGCCAATCTTCTACATTTTGTCTCCACATGACTTTATTCATTCTGAAGAGGGAACTCAGAATGGTACTCAGGAAATCCAGGTGCCCCATTAGTGATTCTCAGACCACTGGGCAGTTGGTTCAGCTCAAGAACTTGAGGACATCATGCTCAAGGACGCTACAGGGCTGGGGGTATTAAGACTCTGGTGATGCTGGATCTTACAGGGCTGATATCCATCATCCAGCAATGATCAGGAGACAGTGTGGAGCAGGGAATCAAACACTAGTTGTATACATGCTAGTTACGTGCCTTAACCAGTATACTATATCCCAGCCCCAACATAATATTTTGGGGGGAAAGGGAGACACCTGAAAATACTCAAGGATTTCTCCAGGCTCTGC